GCAGGAATGTCTGCGGTCACCGCCTGCCCTCCCTTTGAAGGGGGCGGGGGGGAACTCGAGGCCACTATCTAGAACCATCAGTAGGTGGCATTGCAGCTCCTGGCACTAACTTGGCTGAAGGGCAAATGGCTCACAACACTTTTTTGGGGGTTGTTTTTGTGTTTGTTTTTTTTCTCTCAGTCCCGAAGAGCAGCTCGTTTAGTGCAGTATAGGGAGGAGAACGCGGTCAGTTCCCACAGAAGCTCCGCTCCTACCACAGCAACGACTAATGCCCTCGGCATTTTTCTAATTGCAGCTTTCATATGCACTGAGTTTTGGTTCTTTAATCAAATTTATTCCTTACAAAAGAAAGTGAAAAGAGGTATCTGCAAGCCGTTGTTACAGTCATGTATGTACCAGCCCACATGGTGTGTGTTTGAGAAAGACTAGTTGTCGAAAGGATCTAAGGGCACCTTTGTAACGCAAACCAGGTACACCGCTCCTGCATTTCTCAGGATCTCAGTAAGCGCTCTTGTTGTTTTTTAAGATCAGCTTTGAAAAACTGCCTCAAATTCAAATGTATAAGTTTGCATAACTTTGTTTACATATGAAAGACTAAAACCTGTGATATAAACTACACCGTTGAGGCTCAGAGTGAGGCAGCTGGTATTTATAGCAATAAATGCCAATTGTTAAACCCCAGTTCTTGCTGATGGGCCAGGGCTATGTTGCTGTATAGCAACGCCTATATGTCATTTGGTCTCGTGATGATGAACTGTAATTCAGTAATGCTTTTTTTCTCAGCCTTGCCTTTGGGAGAATCTTTGGGTTACCCTCTCAAGTTTAATGGCATTTAATGCTCTGATAAAAACGGACTTTCGGTGGGTAATTCAGAGGCCTGGGATTTCTCTTTTAAACCTCTGCTCACCTCTGATGTAGGAGGTGCCTTAAAGTCTGTCTGTCTGCAACTAGTAATGCCAGTTTATAGACTAACTGCAGTTCTCGGTCCTGGCAAAATCAGTCTGGGTAACAGCCATGCAGAATCTTCAAGTGTTCTCACTGAAGTGGGTCAGCAGAACATGAAGGTGTTGGTGGTGGGATGTCTTTCTCCTTTTATTTTTTTAATTTCTTCTATTAATTCCGTTGTTTTGTAGCTGGGTCACTTGACTGGAGGGCTGGAACAATGTGGCCTTGAATCCTCTCAGCTAGAAGAGAGAATTAAAAGTAGGTCTGCAACATTCAGGCTGAATGTTAAACCACTGAACAATTGAATAAGGGAGGGTGGAACCATCACAAGCAGCTGTATTTCTTATTGTGCTATTTTTTTATTTTCCTTTTTTTGGCAAATGAAGGAGCTTAGGCAATGATGCCAGCAGAAGGGATTAAAGAGATCAGTTCTACCTGAAGACTTTTTCCTCCTTGTCAAGGTGAAGTTCCCAAAAGCTATGATTCACAAGTGGGGCTGGTATGCTTGTTTCCTGTGGTTGCGGAGGCAACAGAGTTGAACCCTAAATGAGTTTTAGCTTATAAACCGTTTCCTCTCCAGGACTGTTGTAAACGTTTTCCTCTCCAGGGCTGTTTGTGAGAAGCGGTGCCTCACCAGGCAACTGTCTCGCACATCCTGTATCTGGCCTAACACCCCCCACGTACGCTCCCCGTCAGTGTAGGCAATAACGCGTAAAGGTTGTCACTGCCCTCGCTCTGCTGTAGCGTTGTGTGCTGAAACCTGCTGTGGCTCAGCACCTGCTTATCCTTGAGCAGCTCCACCATCTCTGTCCTGGGGACAGTCATTGTGTGAGCTGTGCTGTCCCTACTTGTGAATTACAGCCCTAACTCCTGCAGAAAAGAGCAGTGGTGACTCCTTACCTGCTCTTCAGTATTTCTTCTTGATGAGATTCAGCAGATTCTTACTCAGTACGTTTGTTTTAATAGTTACTACTTCTAGTGCTTAACTCCCCTAGATGGAGAGAGAGCAGCGTCTGGCAGTCTGGCAGGCGTGCCTCACTGTAAATAGTACAAATGATGTCAAGCATTCTTCCCTGCCATCCAGGTACTAAGGAGCAGGTATTTAATACAACATCCAAATGTCAAATAGAACGATGCTTGGTCTAAAAAACCTGAGTCTTAAGAGAATTCATACCACCAGGGTGGTAGCATCTAAATACTGGGCACTTGGTATGACCTTTGTGGACTGTTTCCTAGCGGCAGGCATGGGTTATATCACTATTCAAATAACCTTAGCTAACTGCTGACTCGTCTTTAGTTCCACTCTAAGAATCTCATCACTCAAGTATAAAAATTTAGCACTCATTAGCTGTAAAAGGCAAACCTAACTGGAGTTGCTATGTAATCATCATGAGATCAGAAGTGTCACATAAACTGAGTATTTAAAAATACAAAAAAGGGTTCACACAGCTTTAATAGGAATGCATACCAGTCCCAGCAGGCTTCTTTCAGTGCATAGATAAGAGTTGCAAATTAAAGATACTTGCAGCTGGAAACTTCCTTTCCAAATAACAGCAGGTCACTGTGACATTGGAAATGGTTGCAAAAAGATACAGTGAGACCACAATCATTGCATACTCCCCCCCCCCCCCCCACGATTTCCTTGAGAAATCTGCTCAGCTCTATGCCCCACAGCCCTAGCGAGCTTCAAAGCTATAGGGCTGCAGTCAGGTAAAAGGGGAGTTGACAAATTTCACGTTAGCGAGATAAGCTGGTGAACTTTGTGATACGTTTTTGGAAGAGAATTAAACAGAACAAAATTACTTGTAGTTACTCCTTGCCTGTTTCTCCTACTGATTTAGGTGATGAGTTATTGTATATTTATTAGAACCTGAGATGTATGTTGTGCAAAACACAAGTTACAATACTGTTACTGCTATCCTGTTGGCAAACAGGGAAACTTGGCCATGAATCTAAAACCCCTTCTACTTCGCCTGCCCTCCTCTGCTAATTAAAAAATATAAAAAGGTAGCAACGTTATTTTCAATTGTCAGAAGACATTTCTTTCAGACTTTGATTTTTTTTAACTAATTTAACATAATCTTAAAATGTAACTAATAACTAGTTTCTCTGCTGTAACAAGTATAGGTACGCAAACCGCAACTGTCTTGCCAGTGTTTGCTATTGGTGCTTTTTAGCACATCCATCTATTGCAGGGCCTCTTTGCCTAGGTGAGGCAGAGGACAGGAGCGCTGTTACAGCTGTATTTGGGGATGTCCTACCACATGCAGACCTAAGAGGAAGGAGGAGACATCAAACTTGTACAAAAGGATGAGTAAGGAATACACTGCAAAACCGCAGAACTCCGATTCACTTACTGGAAGGTGACTATGGGCTACTTGAACCCCAACAGAGAAGGACAAACTGTTGCCATGAAGTGCCAGTTACAACTGTGCAATTAGCAGAAACCCTACCTGGTAGCAGCTACAGCAGAATTTGGAGGCAAGTTGCAATGTGGACAGGACAGTAACTAGGAGACGGTGATGAGGCTTGTTGGAAGTACTTGGGTTTACTCTGTTCCTGTTGCAATGCATGCAGCCTGCTGCCCCTGATATTTTCTGCCCCAAGCTCTGGGCACAGAATTTGGGTAACTGAGTAGCCATCTAAACTAGTGAAAATTAAAATACCAGAAAGGGGAGAGAAGCCAGGGGCTGAGGCATTGTAAGTACTTCCTGATGCAGCTGATCAGAGATGACTCTCTAGTTGAGCTCCCAGTA